GGTTTTAAATAACCGGCAAAGGGTTGAGAACCTGTAAAAAACGAATCAACCGGCCATATTTAAAATCGATTCCTACATCACTTATTTATCTACCGATTACCAACACTTGAGTTATGTCTACAGAACTATCGAGTTCGGTTTTTAAAATTGTCTTACGTCAAAAACTCTTACAATCTAGAAATATTTTTCTGGCTTTAAGTAACCTGCAACGGGTTGATAAGCCGTAAAAAATAAACAATCAAGCCATCAATGAACGCGGGAATAAAAAATGTTTTCTCTGTTTTCTTTCTTTTTATATTTCGTTCTCTCCGACTTTTCTCTTTCTTCTTCCACCTTCTCATTTTCTTCTCACCTCCTTCTTCAACTCCCTTTTCACTTTCTTATTTCGTTCACTGTCTTTACTTATTTCTTCTTCTTCTTCTTCTTCTTCTTCTTCTTCTTCTTCTTCTTCTTCTTGACAGGCTTTTTATTTCCCTTCTATTTTCTATTCTTCTATACTTTTTTGCTAATGTTTTCATCTTCCCTAACCTACATTTTGCCTTCTCTTTCTCGGCTATGGCTATAAACAAGACCCAGCAGCAAGGCCTCTGATCAGGAGTTTGGAGAATTTGAAGACCTTAGAACAAACTTCTGCTGTTGTTTCAAAGTCCATCCTGATCCAGGGTGGTAGCACGTGTTAGGATCCGAGCAATAGACAAATAGTGACCCCAACCAAAAAAAAAAAAAAATCAACAGGTCATTTTTATAGCAAAATGACAATCAATATAACACTAAAATGGATAAAAATATGCGCAAAACTTACCAACAATACATTTTTTTAGTGAAATTACCAACAATATATTTTATAAAAAGAATTCTTATTCTACAAACCAAACCAACCAAATATTTAGATTTCGGTATTAAATAACCCATAGAGGTTGAAATGCCGCTAAACAAAATCAGCCAAACCAAAACAGTCAAAATATTTATATTTCAGCATTAAATAATCCATACATGGTGATATGGCGCTAAACAAAATCAACCAACCAATGTCTAACTTTGTATTTTTTTCTTTTCTTTTCCCTCATTTACTACCGACGTCTTTCTCTTCCCTTCTTTTTTGTCTCCCTCTTTTACTCTACTTTACTTCCTCCTTCTCCTCTTCCTCTTCGCTCATCTACTACCGACGTCTTAGTAAGACAAAAAAAGAAGGAAGAAAAGACGTCATAGTAGATGAGGAAGAAGAAGAGGAAAGGAAGGAAAAAAGAAAAGGGAGACAAAAAAATTGCCTCCTCTTTTGCTCTACTTTACACCCTTCTTCTCCTCTTCCTCTTCCCTCATCTTTTCTCTTCCCTTTTTTTATCTCCCTCTTTGCTCTACTTTACGTCTTTCTCCTCTTCCTCTTCCCTCATCTTGTCTTTCCTTCCCTTTTTTTTGTCTTCCTCTTTTGCTTTTTACTTCCTTCTTCTCCTCTTCCTCTTCCCTCATCTACTACCGACGTCTTTCTCTTCCCTTTTTTTGTCTTCCTCTTTTGCTCTACTTTACTTCCTTCTTCTCCTTTCTCTTCCCCTCATCTACTACCGACGTCTTTCTCTTCCCTTTTTTTTGTCTTTGCTTCCTCTTTCCTCTTCCTCTTCCCTTCTACTTTTCTCTTCCCTTTTTTTTGTCTTCTTTTACTCCTCTTCCTTCTTCTCCTCATCTCTTCCCATCTACTACCGACGTCTTTCTCTTCCCTTTTTGTCTCCTCTTTTGCTCTACTTTACTTCCTCCTTCTCCTCTTCCTCTTCCCTCATCTACTGCCGACGTCTTTCTCTTCCCTTTTTTTTGTCTTCCTCTTTTTGCTCTACTTTACTTCCTTCTTCTCCTCTTCCTCTTCCCCCTTTTCTACTCTACCGACGTCTTCTCCTCTTCCTTTTTTTTTGTCTTCCTTTTTTTCTCTTCCTTTTTTTTTGTCTTCCTCCTTCTCCTCTTCCTCCTTCCCTTCATCTACCCTATCTACGACGTCTTTCTCTTCCCTTTTTTTTGTCTTCCTCTTTTGCTCTACTTTACTTCCTTCTTCTCCTCTTCCTCTTCCCTCATCTACTACCGACGTCTTTCTCTTCCCTTTTTTTGTCTTCCTCTTTTGCTCTACTTTACTTCCTTCTTCTCCTCTTCCTCTTCCCTCATCTACTACCGACGTCTTTCTCTTCCCTTCTTTTTTGTCTCCCTCTTTTGCTGTACTTTACTCCCCTCTTCTCATCTTCCTCTGCCACTATTCATTTCTTTAATTCGACACTTCTTCCTCTTCCAACTTTGACATGTTTTTTCTTCCGACATTCTTCCTGTCCTTTGCTTTGGCTTTTCATTTTCGTATTCTTTGTATATTTTTATTTCATCGTCTATAATTCTTCTCTAAAGTGTTTTTAAAATGGAACCTACAAGACACTGGTTTCATCTCTGCTATCTAATCCGACTGAAGATTCCAATAAATGTCCTTAAAACTAAACTGCTTTTCAGTATAATATTTCGCCAATTTTCTGAATATATATGAAGACATGCGTAAAATGTGTAATCAATACAAACGCTGTCCGCGTCACCGAATTCAGTATATTTATTAATTGGACCCCAAGGGCGTTCCGAAAGTTGAGGGTAATAATTTTATATATCCATGCATAATTTTATACATATTTATTTACTTATTTCTAGAGTAATTGATTCATTAATTTATTTATCCACTTCTCTAACACGTATACCAATAAGAAGCTATGACAACAACGTCTTTGGGAGCTATATCTGATAATGTTCATACAACTATCTGCTGTTATTTAACGAACAAAAATCTCAGCTGGATCCCCTCCCCCCAAAGTAAATCAAAATCTAAATTTATTCATAGTTTTCAAAGTCATTTGCTCCGTCTTGAAGGTGTTGACTTATTTTCCGTTCTTCACAGACGCAACCTTGCAAGCCTATCGTTACATCTGTGGCAAATATTCAGATGAGCTCCAATTTTTAGTCCCACCACTTCAGACATTTACAGCTAGGATTCACCATGCTACCGTCATGTCGTCGAATCATCCCTATTTCTTTCGTATTCCATTAGTAAGGAGGAACTTTTACTCCTATGGTAAAGTCTCCCTCTTGGATTCTTCCGGGGACACTACAATCTTAACTCCTTCAAGTCAGGGGTCAATATCTATCTATCCTTCTCATCCTGATAATCTTTACGTCTTTCTACCTCCTCTTATATCTATATCATATGGCTCATTCAATAACACTCTACCTTGGGTGGCTCTTAAAACTTGTGTTAAGTAAATTTTAGTATATAAAAAATAACATACACCCAGATTGAGATCGATTACTAGTGTTGAAACATCGAGTAATTTATGTATTGTATTGGTCAATTTCATTGTCTTTCATCAAATGTCACTCTTTTACTAACTTCATTAAAAAAGATTGCTTTTGTATTGTGATAGTTCTCATACAAGAATCCATTTTTTCTTGCTTATTGATTGCAAATGGAAGAAAACAAGAAAACTTTCCATACAAGTTCTACTCTTGACTCATATGGAATTCGATTTAGCGTGTCTTAAAGACTTTTTTAAAGAGCGAGTTTTACTTACAACCCTTGCGATCGAGTGTGATTTGGCATGAGAATTGGACTTCCAGGAACTCATCGCGCATTTTGCTTCAAAATGCTTCGGAAAAAATGCACCTTTAAGATGCTTTGGAAGTAGTTTTATTCTTCCTATTTTTTTTTTCAATAAAATGCCAATTCCGTAATTTTGCTCTCTACTTTTTGTAAAGAATCCTCTACTAAACCCCTAAAGGTATTTTTTTGAGGACCATCGGGTTTTGTATGCCCGGCACATTTGTGCCGGCTGTCCTCACCTCTCGCCGCCACTGTATGGAGTATCCCTTAACGACTTCCTTCTTAGAACTGAGTCTCTGTTGAGTGATATGCTTATAAATCTTTCCATGTTTTCTGCTAGCATCTCTAATCTGAATCCCCACAAAGTATATTGACCTGATGGTATCATTGTAATTGTCCTTGCAAATTGTGCTCCTGAACTAACTGCTGTTCTCTATAAACTGCACAATAAATGCATCGCTGCCTCTTGCTTTCCTGCTTGTTGGACATTCTCCTCCATTGTCTCAAGTCTTTAAAAACTAAGGTGAACCGTCTGACCCTTTGAACTCTCGGCCTGTTTACCTGCTAACTCATTTTAACAAATTCTTAAACGCTCTAATCAACTCTGAATTGGTTAAGCATCTCACATCGCAGGGCTTTCTGCAGATAATCAATATGGCTTTCGCTGTTCTAGATCAACTGCTGAAAGAGCCTATCAGTTTTTCGATAAGACTTGTTAAGCTGGGGCAGTTGCTCTGGACATCACGAAAGCGTTTGACAGGGTTTGGTATACTGGTCTTCTTCATAAGCTGAAAGGCTATGGTATTTCCGAACGAAAGTTGTCCAGATGGACTGCTCTTCTAGATCTTTTTATAAATGCAATGTCAACTGTTATCTACTGTCCTCTTGACAACTGTTCTATTCTTTTCACTCCTTAATAATGTTTATCTTTCTACTTATATGTCTTTATATATATATATATATATATATATATATATATATATATATATATATATATATATATGAGTGTGTGTATGTTTCTATAGAAAAATAGGATAATGAACTGCTAGATACTGATTTGACTGACACAGAGAAAGTTCAATTATTGCAATATGTTGCATCTGATAAGATCAATAAACTAAAGGTGTTTGAAAAATTTAATTTTTTCTATAAAAGACACTCATCGGAACAAAGATACAAACGAAAGTTGCTAATGAGATTAAAGAAAAAAGAAAAAAAGAAAAATACGCAGAGCAAGCAATGATTTCCAACCTTAATTTTAACCCGCTATAGCTGGAGATTAGATAAAATGATGAAAACAGAAACAAAACGAGAAAAAAAAGCTTACATCAAAAGCAGTGACGAAGATTGAACCCCACTGATGATGATGATGATGATGATGATGATGATGATGATGATCGTTCGTTCTTTTTTTTCTTCTGCCGCTAACCTCGAATTGAATTGCACATTCTTTTTTTTATTCTTGGGCATATTTCGCTGTCTCTTTCTTTCTTCCTTTTTCATTTTCCCCACTCTCTTTCTCTGTATCCTTATCTATCTCTCTTTCTCCCTTTTACCCTCTTTCGTTTTATCTCTTACCTCCTTTCCAACTTTATGTCTCTCTCTCTCTTTTCCTCGCTCTTTCTCTCCCCCATTTTATCATCTCTCCTTTTTCCCTTCTTTCTTTCTTTCTTTCTTTCTTTCTTTTTCTAACGTTTTCTCCTTCGCTCATTTTATCTGTCTGTTTTTTTCTCCCTCTCTCTCACAATTTCTTTCTTCTTTTTCTCTTTGTTCGCTTTCTCTATCTCTTTCTCTAATTTCTTTCTTTCTTTCTTTGTTTTCATTTCATCTATTTTTTCTCTTTCTATCTTTTTCTCCATTGCTCATTATTCTTTCTCTCTTTTGTTTTCTCTTTCTCTCTTTTCTTTCTACGTTTTTTATCTTTTTACTTTCTTTATTTCTTTCTTTCTTTCTTTCTTTCATAAATTTTCTGTTTCAGTGCTTGTGTCATCCCTCTATCTTCTAGCTGTTCACTATGGCTAGTCAAGCGTCCCCAAGATAGCAACGAATCAAAAGAGACCAACAGTGACTCACCCCTGTCGTCTGTCTCCCCTCACCGCCATTACCGGGTTCCGCCCTTCTCTATTCAGCTTTATCAGCAGATAAATAAAATCTCCTTTCCTCTACTCTCTTTTCTCAATCCACTTTCATTTCTTTATCTTCCAGATTTTGCTTTCTCAATTCTTTTCGATTCTTTTTCTTTTTTTATTACTTTTTCTTTCCTAATTCTCTCATTTCTACTTTTCTTTTCTTTCTTATTTCGACTTGAAAACGTGCGCTCTCCATTTTCTTTCTTTCTTTCTTTTTCTTTAATCATTGAGTTATTTATTCTTTTTTAATTTTTTCATAGATATTTACAACTGTAGTGGGTTCAAGTCTGAGTGATGTATTATTTTATTTGTGTCAAACTTAAACGTTGTATCTCTCTCCCCACTCTATCTTTCTGTTTCTCTGTCTCTCTCTCATACGGCATCTCTCAACCCATATATATATATATATATATATATATATATATATATATATATATATATATATATATAGCACGGATAGCAGGTTCATTAGTATATAATCCAGTAATCTAGGTGGATCCTAGTAATAACAAATATTTGATCCACTGAGAGCTCAATATCTTTATTATAACAGCATTTATATATTTATATATATTTCAAAATCTCTATCTATAAAAGGCAGGATGTGTGTGTGTGTGTGTGTGTGTGTGTGTGTGTGTGTGTGTGTGTGTGTGTGTAACGAATGCACGGCCGCAATTTTCGATGGATTTGCACCAAAATTTACATGCACATGCTCCAAGTTAGCGGGAAGGCCAAGACCGACTTTGCATTTCCCAACTCCCATCGATAGTGGAAATAATCGATTTTTTAAAGCTTCTACGGCAATTTTCATGTAGTTTGCGGCCATTTTCTACTGGCCAGAGTGAGAGCCGATAGCTGGCTGCCACGAATAGGCAGGAACATTCTATTGGCCATCGTGAGACCCAACAGTTGACTGACACGAATGTTAACTAGACATGCTAGCATGCAAAAAAAATCTATAGCTGCATTCGTCACAAGTGAGAAAAATTTAAATTTGCATGGCACTTTACTCCATTTGGCTCATTCGTTTGCTTAAACTCAACGTTGATTCTGATTCCGCCGAACTGGGTTGGGTGTGAAAAAGTATTTGTTGTTAACATTCTTTTTCATTCGGTTTTTCCAGTTACGAGTCCTTTTTTAAAGCTGATCGTTTTGTGTTCATTTTGTTTAGTTCTTTTTTCGTAACAGATTTAATGTTTAGTATAGAGTTTAGAAAAAATTCACAGTGTGAGATAGGCAAGAAGTAAGGCATGTAGCAACATCAGCTCGGCAAAGGGCACTCCTTTAAAGGCAAGGAAGAGCAAAAATATTTTAAGTCAAGTGATAGCGATTGCTGTATGAGTCGTACAATTTTTTAATCAAGCACGGGCAACGCCGGGTCATGCTGCTAGTTTAATATATATCAGGTGGAGAAGAGCGCTCAGTGTCAGAGAATTTATAGATACAAACAATGTTGACACAGGAATCAACAATGCATGGTGATTGTCTGTGATGTTTAATACAAATAAAATTTGTCATTGAACTGATTGATGTTTTATTCAGCACCTTGAGATTCGTAGATTAACTTTAGTAATTGTTTACTCCATTCATCAGGAGTTTTCAGCAATTAACGATAGACACACACACACACACACACACACACACACACACACACACACACACACACACACACACAAGCGCACATGCACACACACATGTATATGTATCAATATTAAGAATAAAACTAAAGCTTAAAATAAGCTAAAAGATTAAAATGTAAAATAAACTTAGGGCTCAATGCTAAAGTCGACAGAGCCTAAATATAATACGTTCTCTTTTTCTTTATCCCCCTTCTCTCTCTCTCTCTCTCTCTATCACACACACACACACACACATACATACATAATATTATTATTATTATTACTATTATTTTATCTTAAATATTAGAACAAAAACCTGTTGAAGCCGCTACACAATAGTTTTCGTGTTTCGGCACTACGTTCTACCTCTTCAGGTGAATGGTAAGTGGCTGGTGATTAAATTTCAAATCCAAGTGTTAGCTCTTTTCTGAAAGATAAATGGGGGTAAGAAAACACAAGGTCTGAATTAAAAATAAACTTGTCGGTTTGTCTTGATCAACCAACCAACCAAATGTCAGATCTAAGCTAAATAGAAAATTACGACAGAGGTTGGAGTGGGGGAGTTATTTTTTCATGACATTATAAATCAGACCTTAGAGAGGTCATCATTGACAACTACGGAGAAAGTCTAAACAGCAAATGTATTGTGAGGGTAAACAAATTCAATTTTTCAAAAGACGCTGAGGAGGAAGGGAAGGAGGATGATCAGACGTAAAGTTAATTTCAACCGAAGTTTTTTTTAAATTTTCAGATTCAGGAATCTTATTAAAGGAACCTGTAGATAAAATTAAAATGTAGAACCTCTATATAAGATAATAATAATACAAACTGAACGGCAATACATAGCAATACTAAATCTGAATAAACAAAATAAGATAATTACTTTTATAGGGTGGTCCATTATTTACTTATAAATTATATTGTAAGGTAAACTGTGTCGGCAATTTACAGTTAATTCACTTCTTTGGTTTAGCAGTGATATTATGTCGGCAATTAGGATAATTTCTAACTTTTCATGTAAGCATAAGAAACAGGGGTCATTTAAAGATTTACAGTGTATTTAGAATTTTCCATGTTACCGTAGGGATTTTGTTAACCTCTTTTAAGTTCCAAAAACATTTAGAAAGTGAGGTAAGCATTATTGGTGAAAGATAATACATGTTGGTACGACTTAGTTTTAAAATAATTCTTGGTACTCCCAATATAATTTTTTAACTGTTGGGTTTTCAATAGTAGAAATAGTGCTAAGGTAAACAAGAGAATCAGTTTGACATCAGTTTTACAATGGGCATTCGTTAGAATTTCTACAATTATTCTTGTTGTTATTATCAGTGTTTGTTGCTTTCGAATGGCTATTATTACTCAGATTTTTGTATTGGTTTAAAATTTTATTATTAAATTTGTTAATAATTTTTTCAAGATTATTTGTGCAGCTATAACTTAGTTTTAGTGTATTTCTGTTAATTTCACCTCAGAAATAATTCACTCCGTAAAGTTTTTAAAATTGTCCAAATCGTGTAAAGCATAAACGTCCACCCCACAAAATGTTTAATATCTAAAAAAAAAAAACAGACTAAACTAATTGAGTTTCTTTTTTTACAGGATTAGAGATAAGTCATTTTTCACTCCTGATGCTATTTGCCTTAAGAATCACTGAAAAACCCTTTGATTTATTCAGCTAGAAAAAAGTATAGGTTAAATTCATTTGTGTCATACCCACTATGTCTTCCCAACTCAGCAATAGTGAGTCAAAAAAGATCGTTCGGGCCTTCAGTAACGGTACCAACACTCATACTCTGGCTTCTATCTTCAAAGCCCATTCAAGAACCATCAAGAAAACGGTGAATAAGTTTAAAAAAGAGGGAAAATAGAGAAGAAAACTAGATCATCACAACAGGAAGAGATATCATCGTTTTAACTTAGAGCTAAAGAGATCAATTAGAAATGATCCAACCCAATTCATAAGATGCATGGCACGTAAGAGAAGAATTTCAGATATGACAGTCCAAACAGCAGTGAACAAAAATATTTAAAAATGAAATCGTACATGAAACCTGTGAGGCACCTAGTTACTCCAAGTCAGAAAGTTAGAGGGTTGGAGAGGGCGAATCTCATCTTGAATAAATTGGAAAATGATTGTGGAATAACATATATATATATTTGAACACTTTTTCAATCCTTCATGAGCTTACAATCCTTAGCTAGGATTAATAGTGAACATGTCATGTTCTTTTATGGTCGATTTCATCACGATTCTTCTGTTAAGCTTGGAGAGTAATTATACATTCTTATTGTTCAAAGTAGAGTCCAACAGTGTTATAAAAACTTAGAAGAATTCCAGTAAGATATCTGTTGGGGCCACCCACCTTCTCATCAGAATGGACTGATCTCTCTACTACTAATAGGACAGTTCTATAGAGTACTGGGAGATCAGGTGACCATCACACTTCCGTCTCTCTACCGGAAGATACAGTTGGACTTTATACTCTTTTTGATTGTTACTGACTAACCTGCGTTCGTTTGACTACTAATCTCTCTGTTGTAAATACCTCTTCAGATATACCAGTATTTTTTCCCTACGTATCTGTTTGTCCTTATTTCAATACACGCACGCGGAAACACTCAACATCTCAATATCTTTAATCATTTTTTAGATTAATCTAACAGTTGGACAATTTTGCTGTTACACAATTTGGACAATTTTGCTGTTACATCCGGTACACACACACACACACACACACACACACACACACACACACACACACACACACACACACTGGCCTCTACTATCACTAGCATACCATTGCACAGGTAACAAATACAGATTCAGAGATATATCATTCTACATCATTTGCACCTGTTGATGTAATAAAACAGGAGCTGTAGGTAGGCTAAATGAAACATATAGTGATCATGCCGGCCAGGAAATCTTTCAAGCGTCTTGCAAAGCATACTAAATAGGGAGGGCATCATATTGTCTGGCATTATTCTGCTGATGCAAGAATGGCAACAGCAAGGATTGAAAAAATGTATTGGATTTACCTGAATTAGTCCCCACCATAAACACCAAAGAGTGAGAGCCATAACTTACGACACCCTACCCCATGATCCCAAAGGTTGGACCTGTATGCTGTGGGTCAATACACAATGGAAGATGAGGTATTTGAGTTTGGTATAAGAAAGCTCGTCACAAAGCAGACGATTTGAACTAACGAAATGCTATTTTTAACAATAGCCTTCTTGTCACCATACATAACAACCACTTATTCATTAATCATTAATTCTTCGTGTTAAGGGATAAATGTTGGGCATATTGTTCCGATAATGCCTATTGTCCGTAGTTACTGACACTAAGACTCTATTGGCTAATGTCAAAGATTACATTACGAAAAAAAGATGAATAATGTAGTACTGTACATCTAATCATCTACACTATCGAATCTGACATTGTTAAATATCTGTACACTATTTTGTGCTACTGTTTAATTCGCCCTTTCCCGATTTTCTAATCTTCCTCCAAACGACACGTCTATAGAAAATATAAGACCACTTAAAAACTCTGGCATATAGAATTGGGGAAAACACACAGAACACGAAGCTACACGTGTCGTTAAACTGATGTAAACAAAA